TGTCCTTTCCTTTCATGTTCTTATTTTGCCAATTTGTCCAGTTTTTAGAGGGTGCAAAAAGAAATGGACCTGATTCCTTTTTATTTGTGATGACTATTTCCACTATTTGAGTCTTTCTGATAAGTGATATTCTTTTTCAGGTGTTCAAGTAACAAAGTACAAGCTGCTGAACTTCAACAGTGTTTGCTAAAGAATTGATTATTTTGCTAAATAAGATATTGCTCAATATGTTTCCTCAGCAGTAGTTGAAAGCTGCTACCGTACTTTTTGAATGTGATACCATTGCAGAGGACATATTCAGAAGTACCTAAACATTGCATCAAAACTCCATCAAGGTACAGATCCTACTGAAATCACCATTTCATACTGCATATTTTTTATAATGTCCTAGGTAACTCCCCTAGAATTTTATAGCCAGTATAACAAATCATTATTATCCGTAAGTGATTAGTGCCGGTGCCACAAGGCCCGTCGGCAGTGAGCCGGCAGAGCCCGTCGGCCGCACCGGGCGTGACGCGGCGCTCGTCGTCGTCTCGATGCCCCGGCGCTGGAGCGGGCCACGCTCGCGCCGCTCCTGTCAGCCGGCTGGGGAGCTGACGCTGGCCGACTGCGCCGACGCCCGGCTGCCGGTGGCGCGGCTGCGGAAGGCGCGCGCCCCCATGACGGACGTGCCCGACTGCTGGGAGGACGTGGCCGACGAGCCGCCCGACCGGCACGCCGACTCGGCCGGCGGCGGCGGGCTGTGGCACGCCGGTGGCGGGCGGGCCGACCGCGGCGCCGGCCGCCGCTACCCGCCCGAGCTGTGGTACCTGATCGGCCGCCACGTGGCGCCCGAGGACGTGGCGCGGTTCGCGGCCATCTGCCGCGACGCGTACCGGAGCACGCTGACGCGCCAGTTCTGGGTGCGCCTCTACTGGCACTGGTGCGCGCCGCCGACGCCGCTCGGTCTGCTGGCGGCGCCCGATTTCGTGCAGGAGCAGCGCGGCTGCCGGGCGGCCGTGGTGCGCGCGCTGCACCGGCTGTACGGGCCGCTGCGTGCGCTGCGCCGCCGCGCCGCCGACAGCACCGACACGTGCCGGCTGGTGGGCGCCCAGTGCGTCAACATGGGCCGCGCGCCGGCCGGCGGCGACTTCTGGCTGTACTGCCTGGTGTTCCGGCGACCGGTGAGCCAGTTCCACCAGCGACTGGCGCCGCCATCCTGTCGCGACGTGCGGCTGGCGCGCGAGCTGCTCTTTGAGAACGCCGACGAGGGCACCACGTGTCTGCTGGTGCGCGCGCACGGCACCAGCCAGCTGCCGGCCGTGTTCGGCCACGTGGTGCACAGTGTGTCCGTCACCATGACGACGGGCATGCAGCAGAAGATGAGCATCGTGTTCACGCAGACGGGGTACCGGGAGGGCGGCTGCCGCGCGCCGGCCGCCTACCTCAGCCGGGTGCTGGTGCTGGCACCCGTCAACTCGTTCCGGCTGGTGCACTGGTGGCACGACGAGTTCCACGAGGTGTTCCACAAGCACATGCTGGCCGGGAAGGAGAGTGCCGTGCCGGCGCCTAGCTGATGTCGGCTGGACTCGGCGGGGTCCACTGCCCTTAGTGTGCCACTCGGTGCGGTGTCGCCCCTCTGCGTTGAGCTGTCGCCGACCCTAGCCTCAGAAATGCAGCTGCAGTGTTGTGCCTGCTCGCAGCGGACTGAATGTGTTCTTTCAATGGGTCTAACTCAATTGTACGTTTTGTGTGTCGCGAGTGGATTTAGTTTCAAGTTCTTTTTTTTTTAGAATGTGCCGAGCTGGTGTGATGGAATATTTGTTTTGAGTTTTCGTTGTCGAGTGGGATTTGTTTGATGTATATCTTTGGACGATGTCTTGTTCAGGGAGCAATTCATTACAGGGAAGCATTGACTTCAGCCCGGGCGATAATACACAGTGAGTTCCGCCGCAGTTATTGGTGCCGTGCTGTTACTCGGGAATCCCACTCCGTTTCGTTCCCCGTGGTGTGCTTTGAAACGTGTCCCTGGCTGGTTTATTATATCGTGTGATAAAGTGACGCATGTGAACGGGGGCTGAAATGGAGGATGAATTCTGGCAACAGTGTTTCGCTGATAGCAGCAACTTGCTAGGTAACGTTTCTGAGTAACAATGTACGAGCATATGGTCTGCGATATTACGAACACGTTATGATGTATTAGTGCGATATGAGGGAGCAATGATTGAAACCACACTTATTAACCTGCGCCAAAGTTGAAGATGATACACATTTTTATAGAAATTGTGTACCTTCATCCTAGTTTCGTGTGAAAATGATTTGTGCGAAGATGTGCATAATCTATGATGGGACGCATCGGCCGCAATGTTGTGCGCTTTTGGAGGGATGATCCGCCTGGAAATGGTCCGAATTCCAGAGCTATGTAGCGCGGAGGCTAATACAAGGCTACCATTGGGTCTTAGTGGTATTGGCAAGAACAGTAAGGTACCCTTGATTTGCAGTGCTTTTACGTGGCACAAATCTGGTACGCATCGGGCTGGGAGTGAGGGAGACACCAACACGCCAAAGCGAATAGTCGTATCAATGGACATTAATGGGATGTTGATAATATGCTTTTACCCACTGCTGATTGCATATGTTATTCCCTATATTGTGTATTAATACATACTTTACAGTGCGTTCACTGGAGATTAACCGTGCGTTAATTCGAAGGTAGCCGTGCACCAATTTAAATTGGTGCACGCTCGTGCAGTGATGAATTTCTCGACTGAAGTTTTTCGGAAGGGTCATTGACTTTCTTCTAAGAATTCCCATAAAAGGCCCTTTTAATGTCATGGATTAAGATTAATTTTAATTTAAATTCGCACCGTTAAGCATGTATTAATTAGTTTAACACATGGTTTCCGTGCATAAATGGTTTTAACGCACTCGTGGATGGAATGGAGCACTTGTGCGTTAATGCACTCGTTTCACTCGTGCATTAACACACTCGTGCTCCAATCCATCCACGTCGTGCGTTAAAACCATTTACACACGGGAAACCATGTGTTAATATATAATTTTGAATGCATCATCATCCTTTCTCCTCTCTTCCTCTCCTCCATCATTAATCACTAATTGTTTCCCCTTGCCAGTGTGCTTTGTTTCCATCGCGATCGCGGTCTTTATCCTTTATCCATTGCTCATCGCGTATGATGTATTTATTATCCATGATGTTTTACATTTCTAAGATGTAAAATGTGACGTTTCGTCATCACAAGCGAAGCTCACAGCTTGTTCCCCAGATAGCCGTGCCTAGTTTCTAATAATTAGGTCTCATTTCGCTGTTGGCCGCCTTCTGTCCTTGCACTGTACTGTTCGGTCTATAACCGTGCATGGTAATTGAGTCTCGGCACGGATATTATGCCTGTCAAAAGACATCCCATATTCAGCTTAGCTTCGGGACGCCTCGGATCTACTTGAAATTCGCACACAAAAGAGCCCTTGGGATGTGAAAGACGTTGCCCCAATAATTCGGCGTCACTCCTAGCCGTTTGACCTACAGAGGCTAACGAAGTTCATGACTCCTAAATTTGCGCGATATATTGTGGCCATTGAGCGGATATGGAGCTCTGAAAATGGCACCAAACAACTCGCCAGGACTCGAGCCTACCTACATTCCTTCACAGTTTGCGCTGTGACGACGCTCCTCATGTCCATGTACGGGTGCCCTGCTTGGTCCTCTCGGTATAGGGGGTCGGGACCGCCTGCACTCCGTCCGCCCCCGCCGCTCCGCTGGTCGTCTCGCCCGTCCCGGTCCGTGGGGATATTGGCGCCCTGTGGCATGGACTGGTGTGGGTGGCGGACAGCTGCCGACCTCCTGAGAGGTGGTGTTCGTCCCCTGACCCGTGGGACAGAGGATATTGGCGCTCCCGAGGTCCGCCTGTGGAGTCCGCCCGTCCGGACGACTGGTCAATGAGACCCGAAGACTGGTCAGTGTTCAGGCTGCTCGTCTAGGAGAACGGTTGACCAAACAAGAGTACAAACGTCTTTTGGAAATTTGGAGGGATGAACTGACGGAAGTGAGCTTACAGTGGTGCATTGGCAGCTCTCAGGAATTGACCATCATGGATGACATTTACGGGTGCTGACGTCGCAACGCTTGACCTTTGGTTTCGGTGGCAGCTGGCAGCATAGCAGCTGAGCGGCGTACACGGCTGTGCAGGGATGCGGAGCCGTGGAAATTTCAGACGGCTCCGACTCCGGCTCCGGCTCCGGAGAAAAAAATCGGCTCCGGCTCTGGCTCCGGCTCCGGGTGAAATGTCATGGCGGCTCCGGCTCCGGCTCCGGCTCCGAGTAAAATGATCCGGCTCGGGCGGCTCCGGCTCCGGCGGCTCCGGCTCCGGCTTCTACTAAGTACATTCCCTATGCGATCAATTAAATACGGGTGGAAGAAAAAAGGCGATGGGATTGGTGCACGTTGCTACTGTTTTTGTATAACAAGGCTATTTTGAATACCACATTGTTTTACGCCTTGTAGGTGGTGGCAGCATTGCTTTGAATGCGATGCGAGGTGTAACCGTGTATGCGATTACTGAAGGTAGAGAACACTGACCAGGACCTCGACGGTCCCTACTGTCAAACCGAACTAGGTAAATAATTGTTTCCTCTAAAGAAAAGGAGCCGGAGTCGCCCCCTTTTTTGACGGCTCCGGCTCCGGCTCCGGCTCCGGGCTACATTGTTTCACGGCTCCGGCTCCGGCTCCGGCTCCAGGCAAAATATGCCGGCTCCGGCTCCGGCTCCGCATCCCTGCGGCTGTGTACTGTGTTGTGTTCAGTGTGTAGCTCTGTACATGGGTCGACCGGCCCTGCAGGCTGTGTTCGTTTTCCGGCTCTGCAGACGTTGCTCATTTCTCGACCCGCCGTGACTAATCTGCCAGTCTGAGCTACCACAGTCCGAGCCGCCCCAGTCTGAGCTGTCCCAGTCTGAGCTACCACAGTCTGAGCTGCCCCAGTCTGAGCTGCCACAGTCGGCGCCACCTCGGTCAGACATGTATTGACGACAGAGCGGCCAGTCGCGCCGTGCCTACCGCGCGCGCTGCTCTAGCGGCGGCCCCAGGCGGCGAACAGGCTGCCGCGCGCGCACTTGCAGTTGCTGCCCCAGAGGTTGCAGCGGCACGTGCCCTGCGAACAGCAGTCGTACGGACGGGCGTCGCACGAGCTGCCGCGCGGGATGCACGAGCGCCTGCCAGCAGTGGCGGGGTGCCCAGTTAGTTCGGGACATTCTTACTATTTACTTGTCAATATCCAGATTCCAGTGTGACTCAAAGATGTTAGATGTTACAAAATGGCAAACAGCTTCGTGCAAGCTTTTGATGAGGCCGTATATTTAGGTGCTCGTCTGATTCCATGGATTGATTATTGTTCGTATTCATAGGTATCTAGTCGACCGGTTGTGCGCCCTACTCACTTGTCATGGCTCCTGAGCAGCCCGGCCAGCAGGGCCGAGTAGTCGTCCACCTCCTCCGGGGCGTCATCGCCGCCGGCTGCCACAACACGCGGTGACATGTCAACATACGGCACTGTGACATGTCACCACACATCACTGTGACATGTCACCATACGCCACTGTGACATGTCACCATACGCCACTGTGACATGTCACCACACGACACTGTGGCATATCACCACACATTACTGTGGCATGTCACCTGTGACAATCACCACACATCACTGTGACATGTCACCACACGTTACTGTGACATGTCACTACACGACACTGTGACAAACATGGTCAGTGGAGTCGAGTGGACACAGAGCCTTAGGCATCATTCCTTTAGAGATATGTGTGGAGCTTTTCCAGGGAAGTTGGTGGGGCAAAAGTCGTCAAACCTAGTTATAACGTCCGATTGTCAAGTTTCAATGATGTGCCGCACTGAATCAATTCATACCATTACATATATAATATTTTGCATCACACAGACATTTTAGACATTCCAAAAGATTGGTTTGCAAAACATCAAAGACCTACAGAGCAGCTAAAGTTGGTGGGGCAAAACGGTTATTGGTGGGGAAAACGGCGAGTTGGTGGCGCAGCCGCCACACCAACTGTATAGGAAGCTCCGCCTCTGCTGGTTAGCAGCAGTTCGATATTTCACACATTTTCGACGGGCATCCAATAATGTTTCCTCCAGCGTCGCAAAGGACGATACGATAACATAAAAGGACGACCTCTTCGATTTCGTTCAAAATCTATAAATGGGTAGCAAATTTAGCCGTGATAATAATCCTAAGATGGAGATTTTGCCGCTGGACGACATAGAGGCTAGTAAAGTAGTCGCTACTTTACTGGATGCCCGGCTTATTTTCGTTATAGTTGCTCCTGGTACTTTCCCGTTCACTTTGCAGTGTGCAGGGCAGCGGGCACCGATTCATTTTTATTACAGCAAATCATCCATCCATTTTGAGATCGAAAGTCGAAACACCCGGCTTGCAGACTGTTTCGGTCACTGTTGGCGTTTGTCGCACCAAACGCCATGCTTACGACCAAGGCCCTCTAACCTTACGACTGTCAGTGTCGACTCAGCCTCTCGGGCTTGCCTCAGCCTAGTTACAGCTCCCGCCGCTAGATGACACTAGCGACGAACGCCTGAAGGTATGCTGTGCCGCACATCCCTGCCGGGGACTGCTGCTGGGAAGGAACGACAGCAAATCTGCTGTTCTCTTTATGCTCGCGAAAATGGGTAGTGAAACACTTCCACCCGGCACGGTGCTGGTCTAATTAGGTTTTCTCGCCTTATTTAGGTTATAAGTGAAGGCGGGAAATCTTACTGACTGGGCATCGGTCTGACCCCTATTGGCGGACCCTGCCAGCCCCCCCCCCCCTTGAGATCTCGGAGAGTTACCGACCGATTTTCAAAATTCAAACGGGGTTCGATAGCTCCACCAAGGAACTACTTTGTGAACCAATGTCATTGACCAAGGTGCAACCGATGACGTCACAGGTCAGGTCAAACTTCGCATCTCTGAACATTTACAGGCCTTCGAAAAATGTGTTATAACATCGAGTAAAAGGCATGTTATCTAAAGTATTCGACTGAGGGCAATGTTTTCTGTTTAATATAAATTGTGCTAAATGAGGTCACCAATACAAAGTTAGGTCACAGAGGTCAGGTTACTATTAAGGGGTCACAATATGACCCCAACTATACTAGGGTCATGTAAGGCATGTTTTATGGTGAGTTTAACATTTCAAATTCAATGATGAGGGCTAGGCGTCCATTGTGCCAGTTTAGTTAACGCTCTGGTCAATGTAAAGGTCAGGTGAAAAAGGTCAAAGTTCAAAATGGATATTTTTGCAATAAAAAGGATATTGATGTAATACAGCTCGTCACGGGGAATCAGATACACCTTTTACTCTTAAATTAAAATAAGTCACACTTAAATTTAAAATAATCAAATAAAAAAGGTCACAATCATCAAACAAATTAACCCGCGCACCGACGGGGGTCTGCGCCAACTTCGCACCGACGGGGGGGGGGGCGGATGACCGCCCCCCCTGAGATCTCGAGAACGAAGCAAGATAGCGACAAGCGGTAAACGGCATCGGATACGCACGGACAAGGTCTACAATTTTTACATAGGTTATTTTCAGGTCAGGTCAAAGATGACGTCACAGGGGTCAAAAAAGTCAAAATGGCGGCGCTAGGTATAGGGAGTTTTTCTCGAATAACTTTCGAACTAGTCAATATAGGAACAAACTAAGGGCATCATCGTGATCCTCTCGTCAATCCGCATCGAATGATATATATGTTGACCTCGAAAGGTCAAGGTCAAAGGGTGACCTCAGGTCACGTGACCTCGAGGTCATCATGTATATCATTCGATGCGCCTTGACGAGCTGAACACAATGAGACCATCCGCGCGGCTGTATCTTGTTCCTGTACGGAGTTAGTGTCAAAAAACCTTTGGTGACCTTTGATGACGTCACATGACCTTACAGCTGCCCAACAGCAAAATAGACCTCAAGGTAGTGAAGGTTGATCGTATATGAAGTCATGTATGGTATATGGGGCCATTCCGACCCGTTTTAGTGGTAAAAACAGGGAGTTGATTTCCCCCCCCCCATTGACTTATAATGGGGAGGTCGCGAAATTGACCTGACCTTAGGTCACCGACATCAAAATTCCGAGATATACAAATTGTAGCTACTAATGACCTAATAACATCCTGCGACTTTCAAAGGCCTCCGACATCTACTGTAGCTCTGGCACGGTGACAAAGTTGCAAAAAAGTGACTTGAGGTTGGGTCATTCAAAGTGACCTGGTGACCTGACCTTAAAAGTTAGGAGGTTCAAACTTGCACACCATGTGTAAAATTGATGAGGGAATAGTCATACCAAATTTCGCGGCGCTACGCGCCGCGGTTTTCCCGCTATCCGCGAAAAACCTCAGGGGGGCGGATATCCGCCCCCCCGTCGGTGCGCGGGTTAATTAAAAAAGGTCACATTATATAACATATTAAAATATTGTAGATCACATTCAAATTAAAAAAAGCTCACCTTCGAATTATAGAAGGTCACATTCAAATTAAAACATGTCACATTCAAATTAAAACTTTGCTCCGTGTACCCTTTTACAGCCTTATATTTTGGCAACCGCTTAACCGATTCATCAGCGGTCTGGAGCATCACACAGTCTAATCATTTTAAAAACTGAATATGACTGTTTTGATATATCCGGGTAACCGTCCCGGCGTGTGCCAAATGCTAAATCAGAAGCGTTTAAATGGCTTCGCTCACAAAACTTCGCAATGACTGGGACGGTTGAATTGATATAGCTAAATTGGGGTCCCCAACTCGCACTTAAACCGGTTTGGGCACTCACAACATCGAGAAATGCTTTAATTCGGAGATACTTAATTTCAAACTTGCAGTTTTCAGATTATAAGGGGCTAATGCATTTGAATGCCCCTTAGGTTAGAATTTGTGACGTCAGAGCAGATCTAACGATTTTTAAATCTTATACTATGTTAAACCATCGGTAAGGTCAGGTGGTATTTACTGCTTTGCATGCAAAATCTGCCGCACTTTAACCCGCGCACCGACGGGGGTCTGCGCCAACTTCGCACCGACGGGGGGGGGGCGGATGACCGCCCCCCTCCCCGAGATCTCGAGAACGAAGCATGATAGCGACAAGCGGTAAACGGCATCGGATACGCACGGTTAAGGCCTACAAATTTTACAAAGGTCATTTTCAGGTCAGGTCAAAGATGACGTCACAGGGGTCGAAAAAGTCAAAATGGCGGCGCTAGATATGGAGAGTTTTTCTCGAATAACTTTCGAATTAGTCAAGATAGGAACAAACTAAGGGCATCATCGTGATCCTCTTGTCAATCCGCATCGAATGATATATATGTTGACCTCGAAAGGTCAAGGTCAAAGGTTGACCTCAGGTCACGTGACCTCGAGGTCATCATGTATATCATTCGATGCGTCTTGACGAGCTGAACACAATGAGACCATCTGCGCGGCTATATCTTGTTCCTGTATGGAGTTATTGGCAAAAAACCTTTGGTGACCTTTGATGACGTCACATGACCTTACAGCTGCCCAACAGCAAAACAGACCTCAAGGTAGTGAAGGTTGATCGTATATGAAGTCATGTATGGTATATGGGGCCATTCCGACCCGTTTTAGTGGTAAAAACAGGGAGTTGATTTTCCCCCCCATTGACTTATAATGGGGAGGTCGAGAAATTGACCTGACCTTAGGTCACCGACATCAAAATTCCGAGATATACAAATTGTAGCTACTAATGACCTAATAACATCCTGCGACTTTCAAAGGCCTCCGACATCTACTGTAGCTCTGGCACGGTGACAAAGTTGCAAAAAAGTGACATGAGGTTGGGTCATTCAAAGTGACCTGTGACCTGACCTTAAAAGTTAGGAGGTTCAAACTTGCACACCATGTGTAAAATCGATGAGAGAATAGTCATACCAAATTTCGCGGCGCTACGCGCCGCGGTTTTCCCGCTATCCGCGAAAAACCTCAGGGGGGGGGGCGGATATCCGCCCCCCCGTCGGTGCGCGGGCTAAGGATGCCAAATTATTGCTTCCAAATGACGTCGTAGGAACAGCGGAGGCTGCAAAAAGTAAACAAAAGTAAAAGTCTTAAAAACCAGTGAGTATTTTTCGGTAAAATTTGGTAAATATTCATTTTCGATCGTTCTGAACCACGAGACATCACTTTTTGCCAATTCATTAACATTTTTGAAGGTGGGAAGGTCCCTTTAGGGCCTTGCCTTTAAGGTGGGATGATCAGGACCACTTTTTTTTACTCCAGGCAAAAGGATTGTATTTATTCATAGGACTGTCTGAAATGCTCCGCATGCATTCGGTATAAAACTTGGTGCGAAGCTAATTGAACCCCATGACACGTCCAGTGTGAACTCACGGCTGTGTTGGAAGTGTTCGGGCTGGCCGCGACCGCTCGGGCTGGCGGCGGCAGCGGCAGCGGCTGCTACCAGGGACAGCGATACCAGCAGGGCGACCGTGTTCATGGCTGCCGGCGTCCGGAGCACCTCTGACCGGCGCGGCGCCTCGGGCGGTAACTCGGCCTCTCATCCCGGACCGACGTCATCGACCCGCGCAACCAATCGGCGTCCGTCGGCGCGCCCCGAGAAACGCGGAGAGATGTGCCACGGTACCTATAGCACGCGCTATATGGTCCTGGCACCAACAGAGGCCTAACCTTCTGAGTAACCGCTAGCCATCACTTAGAGTTATTAAAGGGACTATCCCACCTTTAACATGGGGTTTGAGTTGAGATAGCCAAGTTTGCGGCGAGGTTCAGAAACCACTATCTATCTACATAGGTTGCAACCCCCGCGGCCTCTTGGTGTTGAAGAAATTCGTTCCCTTCATTTGAAAATGGGCCTTGTACAAGGTATATCTTCAACATGGAGCGACCGTTAGTGTGACGTCACCTCGTTTAGTCATTCTGATTTAAATGGGTTTGTTCGTTGAAAAATCGCTTAAAACTTGGTCTGAACTTTATTGTGGTGCCTACAGAGTAAAAAGAATCAGCTTTATGACAGTAATGTGGCCTGGGGAAGGAGGTAATTTTGGGCTGTGACTTCACATATTTGAAAGTTTGTGTTTGGAATATGGGAAGCCTAAGATGTTTAATGAAAAATAAATGCCAGAAGTGACCGTGTTCCTGGTCATCCAATCTATAAAGTCGGGCACAATTTAACTGGTTTTAACAACATTTTAGAAGGTGGGATAGTCCCTTTAAGGGTTGGTTTTGTGTGTTTTTAGTTTTAACGGTTACCACGTAAATTAATAATTTTACAAACCAAAACGCTTCTCTACAGGGCACGCCCGGTGAAGAAGCAGCAGGGAATTTATGTCGTTTATCTAGGGTGGCGGAGTAGTTCGGAAAAAATGCCTTGGTCCTGGTTAGCCGAGTGGGATGCTTTCCCCACATTGTTTTTATATGCAAGTGCACACTGCACAAAGAATGCAGACAATAGGGGAAGCGGGGGTAGCACCGCCATGTGGGAAACACCGCCATCCTCTCTATCGGCAAAACTCTGATTGTAAATGTAAACACCCGCCATTTCGGTGTCCGAACGGAAACGGGACGCCGCGTGAGGTAGGTTTCGCTAAGATTTATTTGATTTTGAGATCGCAATTGCCCATTTTGTGAATTTCAAACCATCGTTGTAATCATTTGGCATGTTTTAGCAGCAAATAAGTGGTCATTTCAAGTCAAAATGCCTTGATTTTTACGTTAAATTTGAGGGCATGAAGTGCTCTTCGTTGAGAAAGGAATTACAGAAGAATCGCGTCCCGGCTTGTTTTCCCGTCGGGGCGTTGTCGGTCCATGACTGTGTGGGGTAACACCGCCATGCTCGGCGGTGCTACCCCAAGGGGTGGCAAAATGGATAAAGCCGAGATGATGATTCACTCAGCTCGGAGAAGAGCTGAGTGATCTGATCTGAGTGAGCTGAGCCGCAAACGTCATCTGTTTTTTAACCTCACGTTTGACTTCACTGGATGTTTCGAAATAAACGTGAATTTGTCATGCTTTGTATGCATATTGTCCGCAACAAACAGTCTGATCTGTGACAAACTAACAACCAACTCTTGTGTGTCTTATATGAGTTTGAGTTACTATTTCAGACAGCAGTACCTAACGCTTCCAAGGGTGGCTGTCACCGTAAGGCCGATCTGTGGATAACATCGCCATCAGTGGCGGTGCTACCCGCACATTTTTTGGAGGACGGAAAATGCATGACTTGTTTTCAATGTCTGTAAAGTAGCGAAATTTTATAATGGAGCGCTGGAAATTATGCCAACATGTAGGAAAACATTCCTACTTTCACATGAATGCAAAAGAGCTTCGTTTTTACTACGCATATCAGCTCGGTGAGTGCAGAAATGCTTAAGGTGGCGGTGCTCCCCCCGCTTCCCCTAGATAACTGAACGGGGGTGTTTCCTTTGCGTTTAAAAAAAATATATATCTGAAAAAATGGCGACGCGGAGCGCTACCGTTTTCAGCACACCTGGTAATGTACTTTTTTTGCACATGATGTGAAAATTTCAGACCCAGGTCGCTCAAGGTCAGGTCACCAGGGCCTCGTTTCATAAAGCTAGTCCGTAACTTACGCCGGTTTTTGGGTTTGTATTGCAAGTGCATGTTAAGCGATAAATTTATTTCCCCTTCTCCCTTCTGTTCGTGCTTGCAAGATAAATAAATTCAACGATTCAAACTATCGTCATAGCTTCACATGCACTTGCAATACAAGACCAAAAACCGGCGTAAGTTACGGTCTCGCTTTGTGAAACGAGGCCCAGGTCACGTCAAGCGACATCACCACAGAGAAGGTTAGGATGCTCTTTGTAGCTACACCGACTGAACGATCGCTTTGAAACCTTCAGCGATTTATATGAGTAATACATACTTTGGGTGTCCCAAAAGTAAGGTCATCATTTGTTTTGGCCACACTGCCAAAAATACGCGATGGATAGATATAAATAGGACAGCATATGAAAGAGCATTTTATAGAATTTTATTCTGACATACATATGAGTCAATACATTGGCTCGTAGCCCCACATTTGCTGCTTTTCTACATGACTACCATTTCGGGCCGCGTGCATGAATAGACTACGTTTGACTTCCTCCACTATTCTGGAGCGATTCTCTGGTGAGATGCCGCCTATGTTTGCTCGAAGGGATCATCCTTTAGTTCTTCCCGGCTCGTTGGGTTGTCCTAAAAGACAATCTTTCTGTTGTGTATCCAGAGAATAAAAATATGAAGGTGTAACGTCAGGTGACCGCGGAGGCCATTCAATGGCGTTGCCCTGAATGAAAATTACGGGATCTCACATCCACTCTCGGAGACAATTGCACGATCTTCAGGACGGTGCAAGCATAGTCTCCATCCTGCTGAAACCACTGCTGGCTGATGGTGTCGGCACAGCTGCGTTGCGACGAGCGGAAGAACCACTGGGAGGACTCTCGGCCACCTCTCTTGATTTACTGTCACCCGATTCCCGCTGTCTTCCTCAGGACCTCGAAGCACAGGTGGCTAAGTATACATGCCCTGTGCGTACATTATACCTTTTTTCTGACGTTTTACCGGTTGAGGCGAAACTATGCATGAGTTCAGAGATAGGGCGAGCTGCTAGGGTCTGCTTAGGGCCGAAAACTGGGCGGTATTTACCCTTTGTTTTAATGACGGACCCTCTCTAAGAGTTGAATTTCGACCTTCTCAGTTTTATGCCTACTGCTCGGTGTAGTTATGATCAAAAATGGTTTAAGCATGCAAGAAAATAATTTTATGGATGTACCTTGCACGTGTTAAAATTGGAAGTGATTCGGACTCTTACTTCTCGAGATATTTAAGTTTTAAATCATGACCTTACTTTTGGGACACCCGGTAGGGTAGCCTGGGGCAAGACGCCCCAGATAATTTATTTTGCTACATAACTTTTGTCCCAGATGACTTGGAAGGCTAAATTTGTGCTCAATTCGTTCTTTGGACATTTGACTTTAAATTCCACCCCTCAAATTATTTCACCTATGATCGGACTCCCAGCTAGGAAGCGATTTGTGAAGCAACTGCAAATGGGGCATTTTGCCCCAGCCCCAGGGCAAAACGCCCCACGGCCTGGGGCAAGAAGCCCCATACTCTAGATTAAAGATTAAACATGGTAGTTGGCTAAATCTTATATGAGAGGTCCCTTAGACCTCTGGAGGCACGGCACTGAAGTTAGCACATTCCATCCTGTCAGGTGTTCAGCTATGACACTATTGTATGAGCAGGTTTTTCACCTGCCTCATAAGACCAAATAATAAATTATTGCAATGCAAATGTTTACAGAATACTTCCTTCGCCATGCAGTTGCTGAGAAAAATACACATAAAGGCATAGAAACTTACTGTTCGCCAGCTACCGAACATTAGAAAGTAGGTAGCCCGAACAACACATGGGGTAAAACGCCCCATGGGGCTTTTTGCCCCTCGACCTGCTGGGGCGTTTTACCCCATCACGTAGTTCGGTCAGAGAACAACGTTTTGCACTCCAGCAAGACATAATTTAACACGAACCAACCCGGCATGATAAGCGTTAGACAATAGTTGTTCAAAATACATAAAAGTCGTTAACCTGATGTGGACCATAAAAGAACGCCATGATGCATAATCTGACATCAAAACATAAAAATCACTCAAAAAACACATTTTTGGCTATATCTCCCGAAAGAGTCAACACAATTTCTTTCCAGTCTGCTCATATAATGATCATATAGTGCACGTTTTATAGAAGAGAGGATGTTTCCCCAGAACTCTGCCAGTTTCGAGAAACATCGGTGAGGCGTTTTACCTCGGCGGGGCGACTTGCCCCGGTCTACCCTATATAGTTTACCCTCAGCCCCTGTCAGGTGGAAGGCTCCCAGCACACGCGCAGGGGCAGACAAAAGACGACAATAGCGATACCGCTGTGTACGGACAGTGGACACCCTCCCTCCCCTCCGCTCCGCTCCCCTCCCCTCCCCGGCCGTCACCGTCCGCGGATTCACACTCGACAAAGGCGCCGCCGGCGGCGCGCTGCGCTCGGCTGGCGGTCCGCCGTCCGGTGGCGCTCTACCGGCTCTACCGCCCCGCGGCGCGAGCGGCCCCTGCGGCCTCCCCGCCGGCCGGTAGAGCGGCGATACGCAGGGTGAGCGCAGTCAGGTGCGCGGAGGGTCGGCGGGCTGGCCGCGGGGCTATATACCCTGCGCGGGGCAGTGGGGCGGCGCGCGGGGCAGTGCGGGGTGTGCGGGCGTGTGAGTCGTGAGTGGACCGTCAGTGGCGTTGTGCCTCCTGCGTGCCGGTCGGTGGTGCCGCTCGGGATCACGCCCACCTGGGCTGTGCCCTGTGGCCTGTGGTGCGGGGCGCCCGCCTGTGGACAGTGCCCTGTGGAATCTGTCGGTGCCGCAGTGTGACTCTGTGCCCTGAGTGTCAGCCTCGCGGTGCCCTGTTACCCGGCGTGCGGTAACCGCAGCCCAGCCGAGATGGGCAGCAACGTTGTGCTGTCGGCGGGCTCGTCTCTGCTGGCGGTGGTGTCGTTCGTCGTGGGCGTGGTGGCCGTGGCGACACCCTACTGGGCCGAGTTCGAGGCCTTCAATGGTGAGTGACCGGTGCCGGCCCGCGCCGGGGACTGGGGAGGGGATTCTGCTGAGCTGCACTGTCTGTGTGTGTGGGAGGAGGAGGGGGTTACCGTGCTACCCAGGGGTGTTTGGAATGTGGTCGGCGTTTATCTCCGATTAGAGACCACGACCTGCCGATCGCGAACCACCGACCACAAGGCACAACCAGAGCCTGCAGCGGCACTGGCCCTTTGTGACTGATGCCCATCGCGCTATCGGGAACAGACCCACTATGTTTGACAGCGAGCGCTATCAATTTGCCACGCTGTCCTACCGATATGAGGTTGCAAAGATTTACCGTTTGGGCGAAATATCAGCGGGTCAACACGCCGTGCAATGCTGGCTGATCGAAAAGACGGCGGGTACGGTACGCGCACGAGATATGAGTCCGATTCATAAAAGGAAGAGGTCAAAACTCGTTCGCTGCCGTCAGTTTTAGTTACTCTCTACGCTTTTAGAAAACTTCACTCACTACACGAAGAACTCCAAGATCACTGGCGGATCCAGGCTTGCGTTTTGGGGGGGCCAACTCATGCAGGAGCCAAACCTAGGGTACCCCCAAATCCTGTTTTCTCATCGGATTTAGGCCACTTAGCTGGAGACTTCCAGTTTGCGGTTAACTCGCGTTTATTTTGGTGGCTAACTTCCTTACACGCGTGTAGCTGCCCACCAACTTTTACCCGGGGACTTCCATCCGCGGTTAACTGGTGGGTAGCTACACGCGTGTAAATATTTAAATGCCGACTTACACGCCAGTTTAAAGGGCTTCCCGATCAGCTGATCGGGATGCGGCGATCAGCTCAGTAGGCGGAACTATGGTCAAGCGTACCCATTTTCGGGAACGCATTTTCGTTCCCATGTTTGGGAACGATAAACCCAAATATGGGAACGCCATGTAGGCATTATTTAAAACAAGAAAAAGAACCGTTAAATGACGTCCAAAAAATATAAAACGATCGTGAACCGCCTGATATTTGTCTCAATATTGTTGGGAAAGAGTTTGATATTGTAAGGCCCATCGTATTTTCAAATCGTTCCCCTATTTCTAAAGCAGTCCATCATCCGGGCCGCGAGCCCAAATTTGGGAACGCTCTCGTACACTGGCGCTGCAAGCGTTCCTTATTATGGGAACGGCGTACCCAAAATTGGGAACGATTTCACCGACGCCTTTCAGGGGCTCTTTTCAGTTACAAGCATCACGTCCAACGCCGCAAATTATTGTTAACGCAACAATCATCAGATGACCTTTCCGGCAAGACCGCCACATGTTTCGCCGGGTCTTCCGCGCTCTTATTCCCGTCGATCTCGCAGCGGGCACGCCCCCTCTGCAGGATTACGCAATTCACAACGCTCAGCGATGTTCAACAAGGTCTTCCATACCTATATCCACCGTCCGCGCCGAGGGTGGAGACATGTCAAGCACCTGTCTGTTTATCACCGATAGTTGACGAGCACAAGGAAGTATCCAAAAATGGGAACGCTGAATATGTTACACCCTCAAAACACCTAGTCCCAATGAAAATCTAGTTTTTTCCTTTCTTGATGAGTGTAAGTGGCAAAAGGCCTGGTAGGATGGGCACGAGGAATGATCGAAATCAGCATAAAAATTATAAATAAGCCACACAGAGCGACCTATATAAGAGAAATTCCCCCAAAACGATCGTGCTTAGAAACACGGAAGACAAAAACCACCTAATGACGCTCCTTATAAAACAACGCTTAAAGGGACCCTCCCACCTTCAAAAAAGTTAATGAATTGGCACGAAAGTGATGTCGCCAGGCGCGTAACCACGAGTCTGAAGTTACTGGGGACCACATGGAGGGCCACGAAGACCAACTATGATATTTCAGGATCAGTCTTCGCCAGAGTGTGTGTGTGTGGGGGGGGGGGAAGAGGGCAGGGGCGTTTTTGGCCACACCTGCCAGCTTTTTTTTGCGCGTGTAAGGAAAACCGCGGTGCGCACCGCCGTGAAACTTGGTATAGCTTATAATACTTCAATTTCGCATCGTGTGTGAAAATTTTGACCCCAGGTCACCTAAGGTCAGGTCACCAGGGCAAGTAAAGTAATCGTGCCTCTAAAAACTTTTTGACTCTGTCATTCCTATAGTTTACATCCCAGAAGTTTGAAACTCGAGCTTTTACTTGAGGAAATCAGTATGAAAAATTCGTATACCTATCTCAAAGTTTTCACATCGATGACCTAATGTCAGTTCAATTTTACGACCTCTCCATTATAGGTCATTGGGAGAAAATTGAAATGCTCTTCTTTTGGCCGAAAACACATTCAAACATCGTGACACAGGTAAACATGACACACTGAATCGGAAAATTGCACCTGTGACCCCTCTATGGCCATCAGCTCATCTCAGGTCATGAAACATCTCCAACAGTTTTTTTACCACAACTTTAGGTAGAAACATGCTAGAGCGCTGAAAACATCACGAATGTGTTCAGCTCAACAATACCCATCAAATGTCATGCAACATGACCTTTTCCGTGACCTGGACCAGGGGTCAAATTTTGAAGTTGACCTTTTTAGGTTCGTTCGACGCGTCTCGACGAGACAAACGCGAATCCGGTAAAATCAGCGCCATACAAGTTTAAAGTCCAAAACTTTGATGCAAAAACCTTTTCCGCAAAAACGCCAGCCTGGAAGCTAAAATGTTGACCTTAGTCAAATCTGAGAGCATTGCTCAGAAAGGCCTTTGAAAGCGCTATCGAATGCGCTTTCCCGCAGCATTGCAACTCTATTGGTTCCTGACTGATGCGCCGATTTGTGAAAAGTTGTCAAAATTGGGAACAAAATTACGTGAAAATTTACATTTGGTGACCTGCAGTGACCTAAGCGATGACCTGATCAAAAACTGATGTACCTAGGTAATTCTGAAAGATACTATAGCGAGCTATCTGCTGCTTTTTACCTCGCCTTTCTAGCTGGCTTACTTTCCGAGATAACCTGGTGTGGCCAAAAAGCCCCTCCCCCCCCCCCCACCATGGCGTAGTTGGCTGAGAGGCCCACCCGGGCGCTGGTTCAACAAAACATCCATAGTTTTGTCTTACGTAGACTACATATTACTCTTCAGATCGATTGAGACAATAGTTATTTCGCTTTTAAGCAAATTGAGGTCGTCAGTTTTACTGGGGACGGTCCCCAGTAACCCTAAAGTTACTGGGGACCGGTCCCCAGTGTCCCCAGTGGTGGTTACGCGCCTGGATGTCGCTCGGTTCAGAAAGAGCGAAAACGAATATCTACCAAATTTCATCGAAAAATATTCACCGGTTTTCAAGATATTAGACATTTATTTTTGTTTACTTTTTGGGATCTCCGCTGTTCCTAGCGACTTTATTTGAAAGTGCGGCATTTGTTGCGCGCAAAGCAGCGTATACCACCGCGTGCTACCAAACGTTTTAGTAAAAGATTTAAAAATCGTTAGATCTCCGCTGACGTCACAAATTCTAAGGGGGCATACCAATGCACTAGCCCCTTAGAATCCGAAAACTGCAAGTTTGAAATTCCATATCTCCGAATTAAAGCATTTGTCGATGTTGTGAGTGCCCAAACCGGTATTTGCAGGCCATGGCCACCAATTTGGCTCTCTCAACTCAAAACTAATGTTAAGGTGGGAGTGTCCCTTTAACAGCTAGCATCCAAATAAAATATGTCTTTCCGGGATGATAAAATACAGCTGAATAATTTTAAACCACTGGAACTGAGTTTACAACAGTAGTTCGGTAAAATCACTGACGTTCCATGCGGTCGTGCGCCCCGACACCAAATTTAAACAATATTACCCCGGGACTGTCCGCGTGTTCGCTTGCATATGTCAGCATCTGGTGTCGCTAGTATGAAACTTCATAACCAGGCGAAAATTATTGAACTTGACCTCAAAATGTAAAAAACGCTTCATTTTCCTTAAAATTGCAAGTTAAATGTAGTATAACCCATGTTTTCACCATTCCGTCATTTCAAAAAATCATTAAAAATATCATTCGACGGTCAATTTCCTTGTGCAACGGTCAGATTAAAGATAATTTTATAGAGACTTAGTAGATACTTAAATTAGCGTGCACTTTTTTGAGACGTGATGCACTAATGAGTTTTAGTGGGCGAACGGCCGAAAAATTACCTTCCGTTCTCATAAATGGGAACGCCCGTTCCCATATTTGGGAACTCCGTTCCCAAAAATGGGAACGTTCCTATATTTGGGTACTCATGACCATAGTTCCACCTACTGAGCTGGTCCAATGAACAAGTGCGTAATTCCGTTATTAATGGGACCGGTGGCCCCCAATCAGCGTTTTTACACATGCAATGAGTACAGCCGTAACAATGGGATGTGGTGATGCATTAACCTAACCAGAACAGCGTTTGAAGCCGTGCCAATCAGCATTAATAATGCTAATCGCCTTGTGTTATTTCACTCTGTATGGCCGACCGCCAGTCTACTGCATGATGTTGCAACAGCCGTATCTCAGATTACTCGTCTGCCCTCGTCGGTTCGTCTCCGTCACCCCGTCCTCACCCCCGCCCCGTCACTTCACCGGTGAGGCGTCGTCGGTGTCCAATTCAATGCCACACAAAGGACGATTATCACCGAGTGATCAGTTTAATATGTGCGTGTCGCGGGGGTGGCTGACGTTCCAACGGCGCAGGATCCGGTCCACCACCAGTGCCCATTTGCTGCCATTTAAACCGCTAATGGTTCTTTTTGGCCGTACTTTTCATATCTCTCCAGAGCTGTGTCAGCTGGGGCATTCCACGATAGATCGTACCAGGCCCGTCACCCTCATCTCTCAGATTTTAATGAAAATCGGTCCTAGGGGTAATCATAGGCCCCAAAGACGCCTGGCAAAATATCAGACTTCTCAGATCAAAACTTTTTGAGTTATATTGCATTACACTTTTTTAACTTCGGTATGTAACGGTGAGTTTGATGGCCTATAACTCAAGAACGGGTTAAGCAACCAACAAAAAGTAA